GGTGTAACTCCAAGCAATAAATCTTGGAGAAGGTTGCTTTCGAAAATGCATCCAAGCAAGCCCAGGTAAGAAATCTTGCTAAAGGTTGCTCGCCAGAATACGATTCAAGGGAGAAATCAAGCCACTGATTTATAGTCTCAGGGATTTTCAAACCGTTAATATATTCTATTTCGTAAACAATTTTGAATGTTAATGATCATGTGATTTGCTATTGTGGTTATAATAGTATTAGTATAAAGATAATAATTATTGTGATGATAATCGTAATAATAACGACAAAATGTAAAGTAGAAAGATAGAATAAAACAAATAATTAATTAATTAAAAAATATAGAGGAAGAACACAAAGAAGGGGGGGGATAGGACAATTAGAAGGAAAAATAGGAAAATAGATATATCAGAGAAAAAGAGTAAATGAAAAGACAAGGAAAGGTAAAGAAAAGAAGAAAGGAAGACGAGAAAAAGTAGAAGACGAAGAAAGGAAGATTTGAGAGAAGAAAAGTAAAAGGAGAAAGAAGAGAAAGAATCAAGAAGAAGAGTAAAAGAAGTAGATAAGCAAGACGAAGAAAGAAAAATAAAAACAGGAAAAGCAATGAAAATAAACATAAAAAGCAATAAAACATAAAAAACACAATAAAAATCAAAATAAAAACCGAGAATCAAAGAAAACAGCAAAGCAAACAGAGAGAAGAGCAACAACACGAAGATAACAGAGCGAGACACGGCTTCGGTGTCGGCTCCGGAATTGGCTTCGGCTTCGGTTTCGGTGTCGGCTCCGGAATTGGCTTCGGCTTCGGTGTCGGCTCCGGAATTGGCTTCGGCTTCGGTTTCGGTGTCGGCTCCGGAATTGGCTTCGGCTTCGGTGTCGGCTCCGGAATTGGCTTCGGCTTCGGTTTCGGCGCCGGAATTGGCTTCGGCTTCGGTGTCGGCTCCGGAATTGGCTTCGGCTTCGGTTTCGGTGTCGGCTCCGGAATTGGCTTCGGCTTCGGTGTCGGCTCCGGAATTGGCTTCGGCTTCGGTTTCGGTGTCGGCTCCGGAATTGGCTTCGGCTTCGGTGTCGGCTCCGGAATTGGCTTCGGCTTCGGTTTCGGCGCCGGAATTGGCTTCGGCTTCGGTGTCGGCTCCGGAATTGGCTTCGGCTTCGGTGTCGGCTCCGGAATTGGCTTCGGCTTCGGTTTCGGTGTCGGCTCCGGAATTGGCTTCGGCTTCGGTGTCGGCTCCGGAATTGGCTTCGGCTTCGGTTTCGGTGTCGGCTCCGGAATTGGCTTCGGCTTCGGTGTCGGCTCCGGAATTGGCTTCGGCTTCGGTTTCGGCGCCGGAATTGGCTTCGGCTTCGGTGTCGGCTCCGGAATTGGCTTCGGCTTCGGTGTCGGCTCCGGAATTGGCTTCGGCTTCGGTGTCGGCTCCGGAATTGGCTTCGGCTTCGGTGTCGGCTCCGGAATTGGCTTCGGCTTCGGTGTCGGCTCCGGAATTGGCTTCGGCTTCGGTGTCGGCTCCGGAATTGGCTTCGGCTTCGGTGTCGGCTCCGGAATTGGCTTCGGCTTCGGTGTCGGCTCCGGAATTGGCTTCGGCTTCGGTTTCGGCGCCGGAATTGGCTTCGGCTTCGGTGTCGGCTCCGGAATTGGCTTCGGCTTCGGTGTCGGCTCCGGAATTGGCTTCGGCTTCGGTGTCGGCTCCGGAATTGGCTTCGGCTTCGGTGTCGGCTCCGGAATTGGCTTCGGCTTCGGTGTCGGCTCCGGAATTGGCTTCGGCTTCGGTGTCGGCTCCGGAATTGGCTTCGGCTTCGGTGTCGGCTCCGGAATTGGCTTCGGCTTCGGTGTCGGCTCCGGAATTGGCTTCGGCTTCGGTGTCGGTGTCGGCTCCGGAATTGGCTTCGGCTTCGGTGTCGGCTCCGGAATTGGCTTCGGCTTCGGTTTCGGCGCCGGAATTGGCTTCGGCTTCGGTGTCGGCTCCGGAATTGGCTTCGGCTTCGGTGTCGGCTCCGGAATTGGCTTCGGCTTCGGTGTCGGCTCCGGAATTGGCTTCGGCTTCGGTTTCGGCGCCGGAATTGGCTTCGGCTTCGGTGTCGGCTCCGGAATTGGCGAACTTCGGTTTCGGCTCCGGAATTGGCTTCGGCTTCGGTTTCGGCGCCGGAATTGGCTTCGGCTTCGGTGTCGGCTCCGGAATTGGCTTCGGCTTCGGTTTCGGCGCCGGAATTGGCTTCGGCTTCGGTGTCGGCTCCGGAATTGGCTTCGGCTTCGGTTTCGGCTCCGGAATTGGCTCCGGCTTCGGTTTCGGCTCCGGAATTGGCTTCGGCTTCGGTTTCGGCTCCGGAATTGGCTTCGGCTTCGGTGTCGGCTCCGGAATTGGCTCCGGCTTCGGTTTCGGCTCCGGAATTGGCTTCGGCTTCGGTGTCGGCTCCGGAAATGGCTTCGGCTTCGGTTTGGGCTCCGGAATTGGCTTCGGCTTCGGTTTCGGCGCCGGAATTGGCTTCGGCTTCGGTGTCGGCTCCGGAATTGGCTTCGGCTTCGGTTTCGGCTCCGGAATTGGCTTCGGCTCCGGAAATGGCTTCGGCTTCGGTTTGGGCTCCGGAATTGGCTTCGGTTTGGGTTCCGGAATTGGCACTGGCTTCGGCTCCGGAATTGGCTTCGTCTTCGGTTTCGGCTTCGGCTCCGGAATTGGCTTCGTCTTCGGTTTCGGCTTCGGCTCCGGAATTGGCTTCGGCTTCGGTTTCGGCGCCGGAATTGGCTTCGGTTTCGGTTCCGGAATTGGCACTGGCTTCGGCTCCGGAATTGGCTTCGTCTTCGGTTTCGGCTTCGGCTCCGGAATTGGCTTCGTCTTCGGTTTCGCATCCGGAATTTTCTCCGGCTTCGTCTTCGCATCCGGAATTGGCTCCGTCTTCAGCTTCGGCCTCGGTGGCGATGATGACGAAGCCCCCCCCCCCCCCCCCCCCTAAACAGAAGATAAGAAAGGAGACTTCTCGAGATGTGAATTCGAACTCACTCACGCCAAGAATGCGGACTCTTTTCGCCGAGAATGCGACATTACTGGATACTTAGGCGGGGGAGGGAGAAGGAGGGAGGGGAGAGAGAGGAAAGAGAGAGGGAGGGAGGGAGAGAGGGGAAAGAAAGAAGGGAGAGAGGGAGGGAGGGAGAGAGAGAGGGAGGGAGAGAGGGGAAAGAAGGAGGGAGGGAGAGAGGGGAAGAAGGGAGAGAGGGAGGGAGAGAAGGAGAGAGGGGAAAGAGGGAAGGAGGGGAGAGAAGGGAGGGAGGGGAGAGAAGAAGAGAGGGGAAAGAGGGAGGGAGAGAGGGAGAATGGGAGGTATGGAAAGAGGGAGGAGGGATGGGAGAGGAAGGAGGGGAGGAGGGAGTTAAGGAAGAAAGAGGAAGGGAGGATGGATGGAAAGAGGGAAGGAAGGAAGAAGGAAGGGAGACAGGGTACGAGGAAGGAGAGGAAGAAGGGGACGGATGGATAGAGGGAGTAGGGGAAGGAAGAAGAATGGAGAGAAGGAAGGAAGGTGGGGATGGAGAGAGAGAGAGAGAGAGAGAGAAGGACAGAAAGACTGACAAAGAAATAGCGAGAGAAAGAGAGCAAGAGGGAGAGAAAGAGATAAGGAGAAAAAGAGAGAGAGAGATAAAGAGATAAAGAGAGAGAGAAAGAGATAAAGAGAAAGACAGAAAGAGATAAGGAGATAAAGAGAGAGAGAGAGAGGGGGAGAGAGAGAGAGAGAGAGAGAGAGAGAGAGAGAGAGAGAGAGAGAGATAAGGAGATGAAGAGAGAGAGAGAGAGCGAGAGAGAGAGAGAGAGAGAAAGAGCGAGAGAGAGAGAGAGAGAGAGACAAGTGGACGCTTAATATTTAATCAGGAATTAGGTCAAGAGAGGTCAGGAGGAGGTCGCCTCTCGTCTCCTCGTTTATTTTCCTTTTTCTCCCTCTTTGTCTTCTTTCTTCTACTTGCTTCTATCTTTTCTTCTGTCTCCTTTACTGTTTATCTCTTCCTTCGTGTGTCTGTCTTTCAGTATTTGTTTGTTTGTGTTGTTTGTTTGTATATCTTCGTTTTTTGTTTGTTTCTATTTCTTTGAGAGGGGGGTGGCGAATGAGGGACAGAAAGATAGAGAAAGAAAGAGAGAAAGAAAGAGAAAGAGAAAAAAAATTATAACCCACAAGAGTACATCGACATGTCCTCCCCCCCCCCTTTATCCCCACTACTTCCCACACCCTCACTCCCACTCCTTCCCCCCCCCCTCACTCCCACCCTCAGCTTCACTTCATATCCCACCCCGCCCTCACCCCACCCCTTCCCCCACCCTTTCCCACACTCTCCCCCCACCCCCACACCTTCCCACAGACTCATCCCCCCTCACCCTCACCCCCACTCCTTCCCCCCTCCCCGCCCTCACCCCCACTCCTTCCCCCCTCGACGCCCTCACCCCCCACTCCTTCCCCCCTCCCCGCCCTCACCCCTTCCCTTTCCCCCACCCTTACCCTCACTCACTCCTTCCCCACGCCCGCCCTCTTCCCCACCCCCCGCCTCCATCCCCGCCCTCTTCCCCACCCCTTCCCCCACCCAACCCCCACCCAACCCCCACCCTCTCATAGCGCCCTCTGTCCCCG